GGGGGCTCGTAGATTGATGTACAAACTGTGATATAACGCCGAAGTCCTTAAAGACCATTCCTTGGGTCTTTGACTCCGGTGTGGTGGCGAGTATGGCGGACACAACACGAGCACCTCTGGCTTACAATATGCAACTTGTCAGCTCAGCTGGTTGGAATTCGGTTTTACGTAACACCCAACCCCTTTGGTACCATTCTCGTTTGCAGTTCTTCTCAGCAGTCCGAAGGGGTAACCTGAATACATGAATGAGCAAAGCAGTCTTGTAAGCAGCGGTCACAACGCTTTGCACCCTCAAGAATGCGAAAGATCTCGGGATCTAACAACATCCCTGCAGAGTGTGAGGGCAAAATCTCAGCCAAGCTGCGTCAAGGTATACAAAGCCTGGAGTTGCCGAATCTATCCGCTTCTGAGGCCATCGCTACTGGGGTGGAGGCCATGGCTAGTAGGTTGCATGGCTACTCGTAACAAGAAGCTACCCGGTTCCGAATCTGTCGCTCTTTTGGTCCCGTTTCCGATCCAATCGCTCCAACAGAGATGGTTTCGCCAGCCCGGTTCCAAGGCATCGTGAGCTGAGTATTACGATCGATTTGGGATGTGCCTCAAGCGTTTCTGAGTGCGTTCTTCCGTTTCTTTTATGAAGACAGGACCCATTGGGCCCATGCCATCCCCCCCCCCGTTCCGTCCTCCGGCACGCTGATGTCAGGGAGGGAGGTGACTCGACGTCTCAGCCTCAACACCGAGCCAGCGGAGCCCAGCCCTTCGTCGAGGTCGCAATGCGTCGATGTCAGTCCCTTCCCCGACAGCGACCGCCTGGCAGCCGAGCAGCCAAAGCACTGCAGCCGCAAGGCCCCCGAGACCCAACACTCCCAGTGTCACAAGGCGAGGACCCAAAGACGACCAAGCAGAGCCCATGGCTCAAAGCGGGAAAACCGAGCTAAGCTAAGCTGTGCGGTTGACGCACCACAAAGGATTCACTTCCTACGTAGTTTATTGGTGTTCCATGTGAATGTGTTCTTGATATGTCTTTTTCGGCCGTAGTCCTCGATCCTATGTCTTCCAAGCTTTGTATGCCAGAAACTGGTGCTTCTCATTTGCTTCCATGCCTCTTGTGCAAGAAAGCCTATTCTCAAACCCTGTGGCTGGATAGCGTGACCGCACGGAAGAGATGCTAAAAGACCGCATGGAAGGGGCTGCCATCCGACTCAGCGTATATATGTCTACGCGGCCAGCGAAAAACGCGCTCCCAATGGCAAATCAAGACAAAAGAAAAACGGTCAAGTATGGCCAGGAGCTACGTTCGTAGCTTCTTGTTCCTAGTAGCGATGCCCGAAATGCTCCGTTCGTAGCTTCTTGTTACTAGTAGTAAGGCCAGGAGCCCCCGTAGCATTCTTGTTAGCAGGAAAAAGGAAAGAAAGGTCACTGCTTGTTGGACCGACTTCACATCCCTCCCGATCACCTTCCTGTCCGGTTTCTCCATCCGCCTGGCGACTTTGGATGCAAAGGAACCAAAAGAAGTAGCTGAACTAACAAGAATGTGCTCTTGATAGGCCCAAGAACCTAAGGTTTTGCATTTGAACTGCTTGGAAGATGGGACGCTGCCCGAAAAGCATCCGCCATATTTTTTCGGTCAGGTGTCAAGAAACGGTGTTTGGAAAGTCGCGAAAGCCGAAGTCGAAGCTTTCGGCGCAGCCTCGCTTGGCGAGCTCAGTCCGAATTCGAAGATTGATTAGCGATGGCCTCCAACCTAACTGGCTCTTGAAACTGGCTAGACGGAAAAGGCTGAACAGCTTGACCGATCAGCTTGTGAATGTGCTAGCCTGGCATCAATCACTTCTAAAACTCTTTGTGTTTGCGCTAACTGTATGGGCGTGTGCCCACGACGGTTGCGGCGATGTGGATCTGCCCGTGCGGTGAGGAGAAGATCAACCAGTTCTTCACTGCCAAAAAAGCAAGCCATTCCCAAAGGTGTCGTACTCCATTCGGCGAAGTAGTGCACCAAGGTGGAAGAGGAATCGCAAACTTGGAGATAGGCTCGACTTGCCATTTCGAGTGCTCGCCAGTATCCACTGGCCACACATTGTTGGTTCACGTCAGCTCTGGCTGAAATGAGCATCTGAGCCACCTCCAAGACATCCGGGTTTGCGGTCGCCCAAATACTCAAGAAAGCCAGTGGATGAGGACAGCCCAAGCCGCCGTTGTCAGGTGGATCGATGAGGGAGCCACAGGCCAACAACTTCGAAATCACCTCTGGCGGTTGACAATACCTGAGATTCTCGCTACCCCACGGACTGACCACCTTTACACACAGGTTTGTGACTAATAGCGATGCACTTGTTACTCATAGCGATGGCCTCCAACCTAATAGCTTCTTGTTCCTAATAGCTGACAAGAGACTCACAAGCCACACTGATTGCCAGTTGCTTGGATGGAGCATTTCGCAGGTTCACGTCCGCTCTGCTCGCCACGAGCAATTCCACATCGCGTTGCGTCCGACAGAAGCCCAGGACGGGATAGCCGACATCATCTGTGGAATTGGGATCTGCTTTCAGCTTCAATAAGGTTTCCAATACTTTAGGCTGCCTCCAACTCACATCAACGGCCAAATGTACGAGAGTAAGGCTTGACATAATTCGCACATCGATCATGGGCTTCAAATGGATGTTTACAGAGAAACCATTCTCGTGAAGTTTGGGGATGATCGCCCAATCTCCGGAGATCACTGCACATGCCATGGGCCCAATGTTCCTATTGCACTTCTTCGCAGATGCAAGATTGGAGCCAAAGCCGAAGTACACCAGGAAATCTGATAAAGATCGTTCACACCTGGCAGCGCATTCGGATTTCCCAGCAGGAAACTGGCACCCATCGTTTAAAAAAGGAAACTCCAAAATGACTATGAGCCTCGGGCAACCTACAAGCGATGGCCTCCAACATCTTTTAAAGGAAAAAGTCCTTCGAAATGACTATAGTTCAATGAATGAACTCTTGAGAAAAAGACTGCGTGTTATCGTCTCCAACCTTGTTTTATAGTAGGACGAACTAGCACTTACTTAGGGGCCCGGGGTATTGATGCATATGGATGACTTGAGGCTGTGTTTTGGACACTTTTTCTCGTTCACCTTGGCAAGCCGAGCATGGTCTCGTACTTTGCCAAGAGGTAGTAGTAGCTGTCTTTCTTGTTTTGCATTGCCAGGAACTTGAGCCTCTGCTGGAGCAGATGCTTCATGATGGAAAAGATCACCGCACGATCCGCTTCGAAGGTGACCCTTCCTTCATGTGGAGGACGATCCGTCCAGTGGAGAGGCGTTTCGAGGGTCACTCGGTCGGGCGCTGAGACCACGATCATCGGCATGCTGGCGCTGCTGGCTTTCTCCGAGAGCATCTTGCACCACATTTCCATCCGACACCAACCTCGCTCGAACCAGCTGCAGTAGTTGCACCGCTCACCAGTGTCATTGTGAGGCAAGACTGGGGTCAAAGCCAGAAACACATCCGAGTACTGTACATAATCAGGAATGGACAAAATGTGCACATCCTGCGTTGTAAGCCGTCCACGTTTCTCCAGAACAGCTCTGTGGGATAGCATCGAATCAGGAAGATCGGAGACTTGGTCAACGGCAACTCGATGCTGAGGAACACTGAGCCAGTCCAGCCACAGGTAGGCGTTACGTAGTCGTCCTCGATCCTCATCTGACATGCTATGAGAATCCCCGTAGAACTCGCTCGCGATATCTCGCGACACCTTGGTGGTCCCTGCAATGACATTTCTCAAGGCATCTTGCAAGACTTTAAATTGATGTCCACCCGGGTCCGGGTGTCTCTTCCCGAGCCATTGGTGTGATACAAAAATGCACCACACCGATTTGTTGGCGCGATGCAGAAGGCCAGCTGCAAGACATTCCTCATGTTGGGGTAAAGGAAAATCCATGTCCAGAAAGTCCGAGACTTTAATCACCCACATGGTGACACATGGTGTTTGAGGTATCGACCCACTTTTGCTCCAGCTGCAGCCCATCGGTACCGACGTTTCTTGGAAAGGGCTCGGGTTCACGAACTTCTCGAAGGGCTCAAAAGCTCCACTCTGTGAGCTCCTCCGACTCAAGGAAGCGCACGGGCAACGCGAAGCTTCTCACATGAACCGAGAATCCATCTTTCTCATTTGAGCCGACTGAGGGAAAGAAGAAACAAAGACGTGCAAAACACGTTGCAGAGAGAGTGGTGAGAGAGTAATAGCTAATAGACCTTCCAACCTACTTGCAATGACCTCCAAGCTAATACAGAGAGCGAGGAGGGGAAAAAGATTGACAAAGGAACCACGACGTTGAAAGCTGTTCCCAGGTCTGGGCTCTTTTGCGGTAGCTTGTGCAACACCTGATTCGATGGAAACGAATCCAACCTTGCGGGCTGTCTGAGCTGATGGAGTTGAGCCAATCAAGGCTGCGAAAAAGAACACTATGCCAGGCTCACCACAACTCATCCTTGTCTTCTTTCTCGGTGTCCAACGGAAGTCCAACGGAAGCAAGGAAGGAAGGAGAAAAGGCCGTGAAGGTCTAAAAGAACAAAAAATAATGGACACTTCTACAAGAATATGCCGCCAAACCAAAGGAGTGTAAGGGAGAGCGCGCTCCAATTCGAAAAGCTGAAGCTCCCAAGCTGACGGCTTTTTGGGACGCCGCAAAGGCCAGTCGAAGCTCCACAGCTGTTCGGCAAATGCGTGGCCCACTGCGTAGGTCGGCATGGCGAATTTCAGTCGCACTGAGAGAAACGTCTGTTTGCACTGACAATTGCATGGGAAAACGCGGCCTCCTTGGCCAAACCAGAGCACCAAAGAAGAGTTACAGACATTGTTTGACAACGCTCGCCTGTAGATTCAGGCTAGGGTCAAACTCGCAAATGTCCAACTATATACGGGTTTCTGCAAGCAGGCTCGAGCCTGAGCCTGAGCAACATCACACATTAACACACTGCATAGCTGAGCCTCACAAGTGAGGAACTAAAAACGCCAGCTCTCGTAACAAAATACTCAATACTCAGCTTGAAAACCGTGTGCAGGGGCAAAAAATGTCTCCAAGTGTGGCGAAAGTATCTCTGTCCCTATCTCTTGCGAATTGCGCCTTTCTTTGTTGAGCCGTTCTTCTGTCCAAACCAGCCCAAAATGGCGAGAAAAATGGCGATCAATGAAGTGCAGAACATGTGGAGAACGAATCCTGCTTCTCTCTGCATCTTTGCGAGCCAACTCCACGGTTCCCACGACCTCTTTTTCCATCTCACCGGCACTTGCATCCGATTCCAAAGGCCGATGTCGCTTCACGTCGGGAGCATTTGGATTGCCCGATTTGTAGAAGTCCTTGGACCAACCGATTTCCTTTCGGGAAAACTCGATGTTGCTAAGTCACTGCGTCTGCGTCAGCTAAGTCACCTGTAAGAGCTTCACAGCCTCCTGAGCGATGAAACCGCCTCCTTTCACTTGCAAGGATTGATGAATTAAAAGGCCGCGCCTCTGCCAGGATGCCACCTCGAGAATTGAAACCCCGCAAGGCTGGCCGGGCAGCGTTACATCCAGAATCTCCTGAACAGTGAATCCAACAATCACCACTCTTCATGCACATAGTGTTTCCTAAAGCTAACTTCATCACTGCTGCTAGTAAAAATTGGGTCTGACCCCAGCCCACGGTTCTCAGGTGGTTCATTCTGCTTAGAATTTGTTGCTACAAACCATGGAGTTCAGAAAATACGAGTAGTTTCTTGCTCCTAGTAGCGATGCCCTTTGTTACTAGTAGCTTCTTGTTACTAGTAGTAAGGCCAGGAGCTACTAGTAGCGTCCTTGCTCCTAGTAGCACGACCTCTTCATTGGTATGTGAAATATTGTGCGACTTCTGGGTTTGTCTCCTTTCCCTTCAGCTGTGATTTTGTCCACGTGAAAGGTACCGCCACAGCCACCAAACCGCGAGTTGGCAGCACCAAACACCACTTCAGGCACACCCAAGTGTTGCAGCGCTGCAGCCTGAGGTGCCGACAAAAAAGAAAAACAACACCAAAAATGGAGAACTGAGTATGACAACCTGCGGTACATCTCCCAAGAGCCATCGACAATCTCTGCCAACTAGGAGCCTAATTATCTCACACTTCCCCTGTCATTGGAGAGAGGCACTACTCTCACCCACCATGGTGTTGATCGTTATGAGTGCTTGGCCCACGTCCTCATACGGGCAAGTGAAAAATGTCCTCAAAATCGTGTTGAGCTGCTGCGTGTGTTAAACCTCCGACATCCGAACCCACAAAAAGCATTGGCACTCTGCAACAACTCAGGCTCACAAAGTGACTGTTCCACGCACCGACTGTCAGCATTCAAGGGTATCGTGCCTGGTGCGGGTGGTTGGCACGCGTTTGCTGCATTGCGTCCGAACGTTTGCCGGGCATTGTGTTTTGGCATCTTCGATGCATTGCAACCTTGCACATTGCACCAAAATGGGTGTGAGCTGTACAGCTCAAGGGGGGCACAAGCAGCCAGAAACAGGTAGGCGCCGCCATGGTAGCCAAACGAACTATTTCAAACAAATAAGGTCTTCCCCGCGCGGCGCCAAGACCCCCGAACTGTCACGAGTGCAGCCCAAGTGACACACATAATGCAAGGTTCCAGCGTGACATACAAACAGCTGTGACGCAGCAAGTCCGGACCGTTGGCCTGTGACGATTGGCACATGCACGCACGCTCGAAATTGGAATCTTCGCAAAACATGTTCCCCAAAAAGAAAACAAAAAGGGATCATCTGACAATCATCTCCTCCAAAAGTGCATCAAACCATGCCAGGATGGCCCGACACAACACTTTCTCCGAGGCGACGAACTCACAATGCCGAGTGCCTCGGTCTCGCCATCCGCAGATCGGACTGTGATCTTTGTGCCCCACCTAGAGGCCAGGCGGCCGTTGCGAGAGCAGTTCGTTTCATTGTGCCCAATGGCGAGCACCTCGCCACTCTGATGAACCAACACGCACCCAACGGCAACTTCTCCTGACAACCAGGTCGTGAAGGGAACTGCTTTCAACCGCATTACAATGATGCGATTCAACGTGCCCTGCAAACTTGCCGGTGTCCTAGGCGTTTTCCTTGCTCAGCGGCCGACAGAGCCAAGCGCATGTAGTGTTCGTCCATAGCACCGGGCGTCATCGCACCGCTGGATCGAAGAGAACGCACATGGCCGAGGATCGGGCGCAGGATGATCGAGTTGTCAATGAAAGTGGGCAATGTACACAAGTGTCCCTGAAATGTTCCGGGGCATGCGCCTTGCACGGTGCACTTCAATATTGCAATGCTATAGTCAGTGACAGGCAGAAAAAAACATGGTCCCCCAGTCCCACAGTAGTAGAAATCAAGCAAATCATTTTTAGGAGGTACATTTTTCAATCACGGTTTGCTTACCACTGCCTTGTTTCTCATTGTTTGCCAACATGCAACGTCTGCCAAGCGCGCTGATGTCTCAAGTGCGAACATGTTGAAGGAGAGATAATTCCGGAGATAGATGGAGATAAATAGGTGGTGTTGTAGAAAGCAAAGATTAAATGGAAAAGTGAAGGCTGGTGTATGAAATATCCAGGAATGGACATTGGAAGTGTGAACCAAAAAGGTGAAAGGAAAAGAAAGGGCCGTTTCAATGGGCAGGGGCTTCAAATTCTTCCGGAAGCAGAAAGATAGGCTGAGAGTTGGCAAAGTCACACCATGAAGGGAGGGGGAAGGTAAGCAGATTGAGGATCTGTTTGGTGCAAGTGCAGGTATCCCACAAAATTAAAGCGCAGGAATTTCAAACTGACTGTTTTTTCTCCCCATTGCCGTGTCCATCTCTGTTTAGTGCTGTTTCCATTCAGGTTACTGCACCCCAAATTCTAGAGGACACTCTTTTTGGATCAGTCATATATTTAGTATATGGGAATGACATGTAGATGTTTCGGAGAAACGATATGATATAAACAATGCGCAGTACAACCTTCTTACATCCATGTACGCGCATCTGCTTATTGCACTACCTTTTCTTCCCATTCTCCTCAAACATATCCACAAATGCCCAGAAATGGGGGGAGGCGATGCTCTAAGCAGATAATTTTCCGCATACAAAGCGTCAACGTCTAATATAATATGGGGGTGACACTTGGAATTGTTGATCATTTTGGTATGCTTGGCACTACCCACATTGATGGACGTGCTATTTGGGCGCGCAGTTTGTTGAGATGGAAAAGGATCACTGCCAGCGCAAGGCAATTCACACTCGCATCACTTTGACTGCACACAGCACAAGTTCCACCGAAACCTGCAAGTTGTCGCGCAAGTCTTCCTCTCCTGGTTCCCCACACGCCTACCAAAACACAACGCGTCCCCAGGATTAAACACCCTCCTCGGCCCTTCCGAGGTTGAAAACGTATAGGAAAGGATGTGGAAGATGTGGCATGCAAGTCGTGGACTGCCCATCAATTGTCCGCACCTCCCAACCACCCATTCATTCCGGATTGGGTGTCACATTGTCGGAAATGCACCACCCCTTATAGAGTGCTCAAACAATGGAAGCAAGCAGTTGCAAATTGATAAATGATTTCATTTGACTTCGCATTTGCAGATGCATGCATGAAAGTAAACGAAAGCGGGGGCTCTGAAGTGAGGGCTTTAGAGTTAGGTAGCAAACCTAAAAACAATTCTTACGAAGTTGGGAACCTTCTCAATATGGAGTCTCTTGCACTTCTCGATTTGTGCGTGTCGATCGACATGAGCAGTGGACTATTGCCGTGACTTGAACCATTTTTGTGGATGTTACCAAAGTGGGTTGCAGGCGATGCGGCGAAATGACGCTGTGTCATGCGGGTTTGCGCGGCCTCGGTGGAAAGTGCTTTTGCGTGTTCGTCCGTGCCATGTGGAAGGGAAACATGATGGCGCAAACGCGGCGTGCGTGTGGCTAGGGAAAAGGACGGTTGGCAGTGTCCACGAGGCTTGGTGTGACATTGTTGTACCTATGGTCTGTGGCACGCCGTGTGGCGAAATTACGTTTATGATGTCGCTGTGCCATGCGGATTGGCGGGAAAGGAAAACATGATGGCGCAGACGCGGTGCGTCGCTGGGGAGCAGGATCACAGACAGACTGCCGCTCGACAAACTTCAGCGTTTCTGTTTCTCTGTCGCTTCGCAGACTCTCAGCCGTGCAACACTCATCGGCTGGAAGACATCTTTGCCTCCCTCCTCTTTTGGAACCGCCTGCAAGAAGATGGAAAGGCACGAACCTCGGAGCCGCTGCAGAGCGCGGTATTTCAAGGAAATAATTTGGAGCATCCATGAGCATCCTTCAGGACTTGAGGGAGAAAGCGCTAAACGTGAATGACATGTATTAAAAATGGAGCCTGGAGGAGGTGTCAAGGCGTTTTTTCCCCCCAAGTGTGTTAAAAGCAAGAACACAAACTCGCAGATCTGTCATGAGTTTCTGTGACCTCGAGACTGGGAGAAAGGGCTTGATTGGTTGAACGGGACGTGATGGAGAGTGTTACACCCAATCCGGAATGACCGGACAAGTGCCGCGACGGCAAAAGTTTCCAAATTTGCTGTCAAAGCAAAAGGGCGTCCAGCCCTCTACCCAGCACACTTTCTCTCCTCGCATGGATTGCGTATGCTAAAGTAGCTTCTGTCCCGAAGTCAAGACGTGAACCCTGCCATGCATCCGAGTTGAAGGCAAGGGCGGCAAACGTTTGCAAACTTTGAACTACTCAAGTCATAAAACCCTCTGCTGGTGGCTTGGCAAGCACTCGGAGGCATTTGCAACAAAGAAGAAGCTCTGAACTGATCCGCGCAAAAAGGTCGGGTTTGAACAGGACTCGTTAGCAAAACCTAGAGGCAAAAACAAAATTGCAACTTTGCAGGAGAGTTCCATTGGCAAATGTCCATGTCAGAACAGCTTCCGGCCATTTTCACCTACCAGCATCTTCCGAAAACACGGAGGTCCGCCTGGGGTTTCTCATCCGCCGGTCTCGGCATCAGCAACCGGCCCTCGACTTGGCCAACGCGTTCGGCCGGGGCGGGGGATCATTTATCCCCCCCATTTGGGGTCGTTTATCCCCCTTTTCAATGTCCGAGACCTCTGGGTCCGAGATCTCTTCGTCCGAGACCTGTATGTCCGAGACCTCTATGGCCGAGACCTTTGCGTCCGAGACCTCTATGTCCGAGACCTCTATGTCCGAGACCTTTGTGTCCGAGATACATCCACGCATGTCCGACATCTCTCTGACTGTCCGCGACCTCTATGTCCGAGACCTCTGGGTCCGAGATCTCTGCGTCCGAGACCTCTATGTCCGAGACCTCTATGTCCGAGACCTCTGTGTCCGAGACCTCTGTATCTGAGACCTCTATATATGTCTGTGTCGGAGACGGAGACCTCCATATGTCCGAGACCACTATATGTCCGAGACCTCTAGGTCTGAGACCTCCTATAGAGACACGCGCGTCCGAGTCCGAGACCTCATGGGAGGGCAACATCCTTCTCTAAATTTTACCCCTGCTTTGCCCGCAAAAGGGTGAGGCAAGGTGAGATGGCAACATCCTTCTCTAAATTTTACCCTCTCGCGGCTCACCAAAGGGTGAGTCAACCTGGCATGGCCACTTCCTTCTCTAAATTTTACCCCTGCATGGCCCACAAAAGGGTGAGTCAACTTGGCATGGCCACTTCCTTCTCTAAATTTTACCCCTCCATTGCCCACAAAAGGGTGAGTCAAGTTGGAATGACCACGTCCTTCTCTAAATTTTGACCCTGCGTTGCCCATACAAAGGGGTGAGTCAGGTTGAAATGGCAGATCCTTCTCTAAATTTTACCCCTGCATCGCCCACATACAGGGGTGAGTCAAGTTGGAATGGCCACTTCCTTCTGTACATTTTACCTTCGAGTTGCTCACCAAAGGGTGGGTCAACTTGGAAGGGCAACATCCTTCTCAATTTGACCTTGCATGGCCCACAAAAGTGTGAGTCAACTTGGCATGGCCACTTGCTTCTCCAATTTTGGCCCTTGCATTGCGCACAAAAGGGTGAGTCAAGTTGGAATGACCACTTCCTTCTCTCAATTTTACCCCTGCATTGCCCACTAAAGGGTTAGGCAACTTGGGAGGGCAACATCCTTCTCTAAATTGGACCCTGCGTTGCCCACAAAAGGGTGAGTCAACTTGGAAGGGCAACAGCCTTCTCAAAATTTTACCCTTAGGTGGCTCACCAACGGGTGAGTCAACTTGGAAGGGCCACTTCCTTCTCTAAATTTTACCCCTGCGTTCTTGTGAATGCACTTTCGACACTTACGCTACGCTTGGTCTCTTCTGTGTCTCGGAACTGACGTTGTCCAGGGGTTTGGGTTTGGGTAAAAGTGGGGTCTATTAACATTTTTGTAAATGCACTTTCGACACTTACACTACGCTAGGTCTCTTCTGTGTCTCTGATCTGACGTTGTCCAGGGGTTTAGGTTTGGGTTCGGGAGGGGCCTATTAACTTTCGACACTTACGCTACGCTTGGTCTCTTCTGTGTCTCTGATCTGACGTTGTCCAGGTCATTAGGTTTGGGTTCGGGTGTCTATTAACGTTCTTGTGAATGCACTTTCGACACTTACGCTACGCTTGGTCTCTTCTGTGTCTCTGATCTGACGTTGTCCAGGGGCCAGGGGTTTGGGTGTGGGTTCGGGTGGGGCCTATTAACGTTCTTGTGAATGGACTGCACTTTCGACACTTTCGCTACGCTAGGTCTCTTCTGTGTCTCTGATCTTGCGTTGTCCAGGGGTTTGGGTTTGGGTTCGGGTGGGGTCTATTAACGTTCTTGTGAACGCACACTTTCGACACTTACGCTACGCTGGATACCGATTTTGGAGGCCTCTATGTCCGAGACCTCTGATACATCCGCGCATGTCCGACATCTCTCCGACTGTCCGCGACCTCTATGTCCGAGACCTCTGGGTCCGAGATCTCTGCATCCGAGACCTCTATGTCCGAGACCTCTATGTCTGAGACCTCTGTGTCCGAGACCTCCATCTCCAACACCTCTATGTTCGAGACCTGGATGTCCGAGACCTCTGTGATTGAGACCTCTGAGTCCGAGACCTCTATGTCCGAGACCTCTATGTCCAAGACCTCTCTGTCTGAGACCTCCATGTCCAAGACCTCTATGTCCCAGACCTCTGCGTCCGAGACCTCTATGTCCGAGACCGCTATGTCCGAGACCTTTGTGTCCGAGATACATCCGCGCACGTCCGACATCTCTCTGACTGTCCGAGACCTCTGGGTCCGAGATCTCTGCGTCCAAGACCTCTATGTCCGAGACCTCTATGTCCGAGACCTCTGTGTCCGAG